TTTTTTTTTTTTTTATACTTATTATTTTTTAAAATTATTTCTTAAAACGTATTACGGTCTAATTATGCAATAATCTCAAAAACAATACTTGGTTTTATTATTTTTGTAGAAAATCTTATTAAATTGTGTGACTTTATTAGGTGTTTTATAAATTTGGTTTGATGTGAAAATATTGGAATTAAGTGAGTTTAATCTCAAATTTGGACTAAAATGCCCTTGATTAAGTTTATGATTTTTTTCGATTGAAGTAGGCCCGTTTTGGCCCGGCCCGGCCCGATGGGCTTTCTCAAGCCCAGCTCATGGGTCGGGCTTGGGCTTTGAATTTTCTAAAAAAACCCGGCCTGGCCCGGCCCGCTATTTTCTCTCTCCTCTTTAAAGCCCGGCCCGGCCCGGCCCGACCCATTGACGAGCCCTAGCCAGGGCCATGTCAAGCCCAAACATGACTCTGTCCTGTTTGCAAGCCCTGCAAGTTGGTGAAGATCGAACCACACTGATTTATTTTTGACAAAAATTTTCCTCCATTTGTCCTTAAAAAAACCAGATCCTAACTCTCTTTTTTAAATTCAATTGAAATGACATCGATTTATTTGTCTTAATTTTTATTTATTTATAAAAGCGATATTAGGGTTAGGGGAATCAAATTTAGGACTTGAAGTGCAGAGATAAATGCTCATAATCACTTCAACTACAAATCCCTTAAAATTTATTTTTCTTTCAACTCGAATGCAACACATAAAAATAGAGTAGTGGATGGAGGAGTATGCCATGAGAAGGCAACTTTGTTGCCGACGATAAACTTGGAGTTAGTTTGGAGCTTGGTCGGTTAAATTTGAGGCTCCCCCAAGTGAATATCAAGCATGATATGATACCATAAAGGGTAGACCGATGCTACTCCTACTCCTTATGTGTCATCTTGCACTTTCTGTGAGTGTGTTTTCTTGCCCTAATCGAAAACGGGAGATTTTGAATGTGGAATCTCTTTTCTTTTTTCCATGGAAAAAAAAGTCCATTAATAAGTCATGACCAGTATTATATTTGTCTCTATACATTCAAAAGATTTTTTTATTAAACATATATAACATATCATTAGTAATAAATGTGAATATCATGCTATTGTTTTTTATTTTTCAAAGGGTAATAAAAAAAAATCTCAAAACGTCTATGAGGTTTCCTAAACTATCGTAGTCCTCCATCTTTTCTTTATTCAACATGTATCATCCTATTAGTGTGCTGCCGTAACATGCGTATGGGGCCTATAAATTCACCGTTATAATGCCATGTGAATTAAATAAAAAGTTAAGCATGAAAATAATGTGTTTTTTTGTTCTTCTCTTTTTGCCACAATTAGAAAGGGAAAGAGGGGGAATTCTCACACACACGCACACTGTGCCATGAGAGATCAAACTGTAGACCATTAGCTTGCGAGCCAATAGCTCTACCACTGAGCTAAAGACCACATTGGTAAATAATGTGTTGAAATACCACGACTTGTGCTTAAGAGGAAAAGAACTCACATGAAACTGTGGTGGTATTCCAAGCAAATTATGTACTCCCATATGAAAAAGTAGAGTAAAATAAAATAAAACACATAATAATGCATGATTGACTTAGAATACCATCACATGTGCTCCCAACTCGAGTTCGAATACCCCTATCTAAGTTTAGATCTATATATATAAAGCAAAAAGTTGAGAATGGTGAAACATTTAAAATATTAGAAAGTAAGAATTGAAATTATTAATTAAATGAGGATAATATGATAAATTCACATTTTTTCATATTAAAAAAAATTCAAAATTAAAACAAAATAAAATAATGAGTCCTATTTTTATTTTTATGCAATACAATTACTCATTATTATTTTTAATTTTAAAATAAAATAATAAAAAATTGAAAAAATCAATTGACACACGCTAGTTAGATTATAATAGAATGTCCCTTATAAAAAATAAAAATAAAAACATAAACAGAAAGGACAGAAAGGAGAGACTGTGTAAGCAAGCAAGCAACCGTCCAAACAAGAGCAGCTGAAAAACAACAGAAGCTCGATGAAAGCTAAACTAAAAAGCCATGTGAATTTTGCGATTATGAGAGAGATAGCGGCTGCATGAAGGCGATGGTAACCAAGCAGAAGCAGAAGCTGCAGCAAAAGCAGAAGCAAAATCAAAAGCAGCACAGCAAGCAAGAGTCAAGACCCACAAAATCCACCATCACCAACTCACTCCCATATGTCACTCTCCTCTGCAAATAATATATATTCCATTCTCTCGTCCTCTTCAAGCTTCTTCCCCCTCCCCAATTATCCACTCTCTTATTAACCCTTAAATGTCGTTCATCCCCAACCCCTCCTCCACTCTACGACGCCGTTTTCACATCCCAAGAAATGCACCCACCGGACTTCAGCCTCACCCATCTCATCAAATCCCAGCCCTCCGATCCCGATCCCGGTCCCCTCTTCCTCGGTGGTCTGTTCCTCCACCCCAATGACACCGTCCCTCCTTCCTTCCTCTCCTTGGTTCCACCCAAGAACCGTTTCAGTTTCACGCGCCGTGGCAAAACGGTGCGTCTTAGAGGTTTGAGAGGAGGAGGTGGCGGTGCTCTGCTCTTGTCTGTGAGCTTGTCGATAAAGGGGAGTGAAGGGGATGGTGACGATGGATGTGTTGGGGAATCTGGGCAAGCCTTGGGGCAAAATGGGAATACAAGTTTTTCGTCGGAGGAGGCCGTCGTGGTGTTCGAGAAGGGTGAGAGTGAGACTGTACGAAAGGGATCAGGTGCTATGAACACAACAAAGCATCTCTGGTCTGGAGCTGTTGCTGCTATGGTTTCCAGGTTCCTTCTCTCTAAAACAATTACATTTAAAAAAAAAATTTCTTTCTTCTTTTGGCGGGTGAATGACTGTTTGCATTTATTTGTGAATTGGCAGAGACTATCAGATTAAGAGTAGATGTAAAGTCTTGGTTTTTTCAAAGATGAAAGGAAAGCTTAAGCTAACCCAGATAGATATATGAGTATATGAGGAACTAACTCTAGGTCCAGGTTATATATCTTTGAGTCATCAATGATGGAAATCTTAAAACCCAATTGACAGTTTCTCTCCTATCCTGTGATTTTGAAGAAACTAAAAGGGAGCGTCCAATTATAATTTCTTTGTGATTGTGGCTCTGAATTATTGGTTATGCTTTGAATTGGCTAAAAGGTACATCATATGCTTCTCTTCTGCTTATGCACTAACATTCAAACTTTTGGTGTTTCACCTGCCCCTATGGATGCCGGTGTATTAGGACGTTTGTTGCTCCTCTTGAGAGGCTAAAGCTGGAATATATAGTTCGTGGCGAACAGAAGAACCTTTTTGAGCTCATCAGGACGATTGCAGCTTCTCAAGGGCTGAAAGGATTTTGGAAAGGAAACTTTGTCAATATTCTTCGCACAGCACCCTTTAAGGCTATCAATTTTTATGCTTACGATACTTACAGAAATCATCTGATGAAATTGTCTAAGAATGAGGAATCCACAAATTATGAGAGGTTTCTTGCTGGTGCTACCGCTGGAATTACAGCTACCTTGCTCTGCTTACCTATGGACACTGTATGTTGCTACTTACTACTGCTATTTGGTTCAGTTAATTTCATCTCATGAGCATAAATTTTCCTGGTGCCTTTTTCCAAATTTTTGTGTTCAAATTAATTTCTTGTACTTAATAGTTAGTGCAATGTGCAGGATGGGAGGTCACCATAACCCACACTTTTTTAGATCACTCCTTGACAGTCTTCATGACCTAAATTCTTTTGCTTGCACTTGAGAACTCTGATCTGTTTCTTTAATTATAAATTCTAGCCAGAAAGAAGAATGCGAGCATGTGTGTGAGTGTGTGCAGGAGGGGCAGTATCTCTGTGTATTACATAAGAGTTTCCACACCTTGGCATTCATTCCAGTTCGAATTTTTGTGTTCATTTTTTCTCTTTTGAGATTGACCAGCCAGCTGGGTTGGTTTAGCTATTCCTTTCTATTGAAAAGGAGTCAGCTGGCTGTGCAAATCACCCTTATCTCTTACTGATTTTGTCAGACTTAAAATTATGTCACGAGAAACAATCCAAATTTACTCAAATGGGATAATAAGAAGAAATTGGCAGGGGCATGGCCTTAGCACAGGTTAATTCTCCAATGAGACCCTGAGGTGGATGCATATATTGTTTAATGGAAACCAGTTGAGTTTTATTCAGTGTTATTTTATGTAGCAAATCAAAGATTATTTGGATATACAGTAGGAGCAAGCCTTTCTTTCGCCTTTTACATACCACCTGAAAAAAAATTACTTGCATTGGCTTCCATGTAAACTGTTTTGGTAACCCCATTTTGAATGAAATAATGTTTTTTTGATTTAGAGGTGGCCATTGCTTGGAGCCTCAGCTCTTATAGATTAAAAAGCTGGTATTTGTTAACAATTTTTACAGTGGTATTGCAAGCCAAGTCACATTGTAAAATTTCAATTATTTCAGATCAGGACAAAGATGGTAGCACCTGGTGGAGAAGCCTTGGGTGGTGTAATTGGTGCTTTCCGCCACATGATCCAAACTGAAGGGTTCTTTTCTCTTTACAAGGGTTTACTACCCTCCATTGTGAGCATGGCACCTTCAGGTGCAGTTTTCTACGGTGTTTATGATATACTAAAATCAGCTTATCTGCACTCACCTGAAGGGAGGAAAAGAATCCAACACATGAAACAAGAAGGTGAGAAACTGAATGCTTTGGAACAACTGGAGTTAGGTCCCATTAGAACATTACTGTATGGGGCAATTGCCGGAGCTTGTTCTGAAGCTGCTACATATCCATTTGAAGTTGTGAGGAGACACCTTCAATTGCAAGTTCGGGCAACTAAGTTAAGTGCAATTGCAACTTGTGTGAAAATTGTTGAGCAAGGAGGTGTACCTGCTCTTTATGCAGGTTTAACGCCAAGCCTATTGCAGGTATGGTACTCTGACGATTCTTTAGTTGGAAACACTTCTGGGTTTCTGTGTAATTAATTGTGTTGAATGATAATTAGAGAGGTGTACCATTGCATCTAACCAAACTTTGGATACGAAATAGTAATTTTTGTTTGTTTAAGATGAGGTATAAACGTCAAATTAAGTGTCTACTTGAGGGGTTTAAATGAAATTAACCAGTGAAAAGAGCAAGTGAATGTGGATGTGGTTTTATTTTGGTTGTTAAGAGTAGTTGAGCAGTTGTGATTACATTAGTTTATTATGAGTTTCTTAACATTTTTCTTTGTCTTGACTCTGTAGGTTTTACCATCAGCTGCAATCAGTTATCTTGTATACGAGTTTATGAAGATTTTTCTCAAAGTAGAGTCCACGTAATACTTTTCAATCAATATCAAGGTCCAGAGGTTCTTGTCGGGGTTGACTGGTTGGGAATGAATACTTTTGTTTTTGTTTTTGTTTTCTTTCATGTTTTGTTTTGTTGATACTTGGAAAAGAACCAAAAGGTCAAAAAAAAGGCATGCATTTTCAAAGGAGCGCTTCACAATGTTTTCGGTTGGCTTTTCTGTGATATGAGACAAGAAATTTATCCTGACACGCAAGGCAGGCACGAGCGGACAGAAAATTTCGCCTTTCGTTTTCTTTTTTTCTTTTCCCCCATAAATTCTCCATTGGCATCTGAAAAGTGCAAAGAGTGGTTCAGTTGAGACAAAAGAAAATCAATGTAGTTAAAGAGGACTTCAACATACAAAGCTCAAGTTTGGCTTGTTTCTTAACAACGAGCCTAACACAAACTCCAGTTGTATCAAGATATAGCTTATATGGTTTGAGAATTTTTGCAGATATGTCAAATTGTGATTTATATGAATATATTACAGATAGAACAAAGCAGGATAGCTTATATGGTTGGAGAACTTTTTGTGCTTTCTTTTATATTTTTCTATAATTAACTAAAAATATTACTTGTCTCATTTCTTAAAAGGAGATATTCCAATACCGAACACACAAATTTGGTAATGGTTTTTGTTTAAGGGAAAAATTCAGCAATGCCCCCGAATTATAGGTTGTGTTCTACTCTGCCCTATGAACTCTCAATCTCATTCTTAGTAAACTTTTCATTCATGCCAATGTGCCCCTTGTTAGTTAGTTATGTAAATTATCTGTCAAATTGATGGTCATTTTCATGCAATCAAGTTGGGACTTGCTTTAATCCACTTTCAACTTGCCCAGACCTGATTGTGACACTAATTGACCCAAAAGGTATAAGATATAGGCTATAGTCTGTAGAACAAAACAAGATAGCTTGTTTTTTTCAAAAGAAGATTTCATTCATTAGCCTAAAATGCATACAAAGACCGACACGCTACCAATAGCCTCATTAAAACCTTCCTAGGAGACCACATGGGACAGACCCCAGGGTAGGAAAGAGTGCTACACATACCGTGGACTAATAGGAGAGTTCAACACAAAACGACAAAACCAAAACATAAAAGGAAAAGAGAACCCCAACTAGAGACCAACATAATAAACCCACAGGAGAGGACCGCAAAACATCCCAACCGTCAAAAGAGGCCATCTATGAGCAAAATCATAGTTCTTTGAAACCCACACAAACTGCAAGGCATACCATAGCAGAAACCAGGAGAGAATACGAAGGAAGAAACATAGAAACAATAATAAAAGGACCCCGAAAAAGCACTCCACGTCAACTCTGAACCTGACAAAGAAAACTCCTATGACCAAGCATAGTTCTTTAGTCAGTGTAGAATAGAGAAAGCACCACAACCCAACAACTACAACTAGCGTCACTGTTGCCATCACCGTCGAAACAAGGACAAAACATCAGCCACCAAATAGCACAACTCTCCTAAGGAGAGATACAACTCAACATCACTAGTACACTACTACTGCCACCGCCGAGACAGAGACAACACTAGCCACCTAGAACACTGCAAAAATAACCAAACAAAATAAACACACACACAAATAGACCTAAATCCAAACATATCTAGGCTATCTGGGGAGGGATAAGAGGAAGGGAAAAGATGGGAGAAGGAGGGGGGAGATGGGTGGAGGGGGGGAGGGGCAGCGGCCACCTCCCCCCTAGCTTCCTTGCGGTTGGGTGTCAGCAAGGA